ATCACCTCAGCTTAAATAATGCTTCCCACTGTCTTTTAGGATGGAAAAATGAACACAGTTTTATGGGCCAACAAGATTGTCCCAAGTACAGTGAGGACATGGATCCTGTCTTAGCTCATGGTCTTGCATTAAGATTGATCTTAGGGCCTAAACAAAGTTATTCTGTTCCTCAAAAGAGACTATTTAAGCCTGGGTTTTGTGGCACACAACTGCATTCTAGCGACTGTTAAGCTTGAGGCAGAAGGACCAAAAGAACATGGCCACCAGAAGAGACGGCTTGGGATACATGACATTGTATCTTAAAAAAAAAAAACAAAAACAAAAAACAAGTGTTTAATTGCAAGCATGTTTATAAGCACCATCTCTTTCCTTTTTCTAGGAAAAGAACAAATTATTAGCAAACAGTGGACCTGGGTCACTTGCAAGAAAAAAAAATATGTGAGCTTACCTGGTTGAACTTGCAGTGAGGTGGTCAGTGTCTGTGTATCACCATCCCATCCTTTCATTTTGACTCAATGACAATAGAGACTGCTGTCACCCTCATCAACATCCTTGATTGTCAAGGTTGCATTTCCTCACAAGACCTGTCCCTTTGCTTAACTGTTTGTTTAACCACTAGTAGAGACAGAGTTGATCAGCCCAGATAAATGGTTGTCTGTGTGTATCAAAAGGATATGCCCCACTGTCCCCAATACATGGCTATGAGTTCATTAGACATGGGATAAGGACATGGCAGTGTGACAGGGTGACCCATCACCCTATGCATTTCTGTGAAATAATCCATGGGACCTTTGGAAAAGTGCGAGAAACAGAGAATGAGCACTCAACAGTTCCCTACAATTTTTTTTTTTAGACCTGTATTTCTTTCCCATTTTTCCTTTTTTGGCTCAGTTGAAGATTAAACATGATGCATGATGTATTGGAGACACTCACTCTATCAGCATTCCAGCCACAGCCTTTCTTTGCATTGTTTTCTTTGTAGAGTCTTGATAACTTAACATTTTCACTATAAATGATATTCTGTTAGCGTATTCCTCTTCAGTGTGGTTATGTAGTGGATATGTGTATGGACGAAACAACATACTGTACTTTATGTTCACGCTCTTTCTTATCTCTTTTCTTTTTGTCTTTTTTCTCTACTTCTTCCTTTCCTCCTTTTTGAAACAACACTCACTATATAGCCCTGGCTGGCCTAAAACCCACTATTTAGACTAGGCTAGCCTGGGACCCATAGAGATTCACCTGCCTTTGCCTTTGGACTGCTGGGATTAAATACGACACCTTGTTGGTTTGTTTTTCAGGCAGGATTCTTGTCCTGTAGCCCAGGCTGGCTTGCATTTACTATCCTCCAGCCTCAGCTTCCTGAGAGATAATATTACAAGCTTATACCAGCTCTATCTTTTTAAGTTTTTACATTTAAAACTTCTGTCCTAGAAGCTGAGCATGTTGATGGGTACCTGCAAACCCAGAACTCAGGAGGTAGAGAAAGGAGAGTCAAGTATTTAAGGACGGCTTATGTCTCTTGTGATCTTATTTCAAACCACCCATTCCTCTCCCTCTCAAAGTTACTGACAATGAAACCATTAATTTTTTACCCACCTCTCCTATACAACCAACAGAGCCAAGTTTTTGTTTGCAGTATTGTGTGCCTAAAGAGGACCCTTAGTAACTTCAATATCAATTCTCAGAAAGGGTTTAGAACATCATCAGGAGGGACTGAGGCTTTAGGGTCAGCATAGTAAGAGAAAATCTATGTAAGAATCCCTTATATGTTGGTAACATTCTAGACACTGAACAATACTCACTTATAAAGTAAAAACACAAAATCAGAAGAGTCTATCAAGAACTAAATTATATAACTTTTAAATTTTTAAATGCATTTGATGAAGTAGCAAAATAAAATCCTTATTATCAGTTGCCTTTAAGTTGGCATTTAAATGAACTTTGGGTATTGAGAATTTAGTTCGATGATCCAGTGCTTGACTAGCCTATGCCAGCCCGAGGGTTAGATCCCAGCACATGAACATAGAACAATGAACTGCCAGATTCACTAACTAGTCACTATAAGCAGGTCTAAGCTACGATTTTGGGACACGGTCTGAGAAAGTACTTTCCTTGTTGCATAAAGTGAATGTATAATTTGTACTGGGACATATATTACTTGATTTTGCCTAATATCTTTTCAGTATCACAAATGAAATATACTATTACAATAAAGTAATAGAAACACATGGTAAGAAGTGCTTTCTTCTACAATCCCACCACTGAGATTAGATTTTAGGATGTGTGACATCTGTGGGGACTCATGTCTATAATCTCAGCTCTTGGGGGGTAGAGGCAGGAACAGCGGATGTGAGAGATTGTCCTCAGCTATATAGAGACTCTGGAGCTAACCTAGGCTACCTTAGGTTTTGTCTCAATAAAATGCAATTCATTATTGCCACTTGCATCTTAGAATGTTTTCAATTAGCATGGTTTTCAATTAAAGACTTAAAATCATTTTTAAGGCACAAAGGTGTCAAGCGAACTCTGAAGTGTCCATTTGACTTCTTCTCCATCCCTCAAATGGAAAGCATGACTACTATTTCCTATAAACTTTTGATCATCACATACATGCACATATACTCACCCTTAAACTGTCTATCACATGCATATCGGCCCTGATCTGACATACTTCTGTGGATCATGTTTATTTAGGCATCACTTTTGAAATTCATACAGGTTCCATAAGTTCTTTGAACAACAGTACTGTCCTGGTTCTCTGCCCACTACTTAACCCACAATCAATACAGTCCACAAGATGTCTCTCTTCTTATGACAGCTCCAGGTTCCTCAGTACCCCCAGCTCACCTACTCCCTTATCTGTGGGAAGTAGTATAGCCCCTGACATGATAGCTTGAAGATGCATCATGATGTTGACCTAAAGGAAAATGAGAAGACATTTTGGTTGGCTGTGGCACTTGGTACATGGTGAATTAATAGTAAGGTCTTAGTTCTCAGAGAGCAACTTCTGGTTTTCTTGGTGATGTGACGCATGCCACCTGCTCTGTTGTGAGCAATCCATTTTCAAGTCCTTCATCCCAGGCTCTGCTGGCTCCTAGGAGTATAGGGCTCTGCGCCTTCCCAAGGACAGGAAAATCTGTCCTCCGAAACAACCTCCTCTTTACCAGTCCCTTCCTACTTATACCCATCGATCTTATCCCTGGTCTTAGTCCAAATATGGCAGAAGAGAGAGGGAGAGGGAGAAAGCTGAAGGCAAAGATAAGAACATGGAGCTTTCTGATGACAAGATATGCTTGCCCTCTGGTGGACAAGGCTCTTACTGCTCAATGGCCACAGTGGGTGGAAGCCTCAACCAACTTCATCCTTAGCAAGATGGACTGAGCAAGAATGTGAGGCTCTGTGCCTAAGTACTCATGCTGCCACACACAGTGACTGGGACCACACCTTCCTGAGGATGTGTATGAACACCTAGAAAAGCACTTGCTAGAGAGCCATAGCTTCCTTTTCACAAAGCTAGGAATGCCTGAGAGATAAAGAGCTCCTCCATGCTTTGGTTTCCTCCTTTGTTAATCAGCACTATGAATATTTGTTCAGATGTTTGGAGATTCTGTTGTGAAGGAGATGCTGGGCTGCTCACAAGCACCTAATCCTCACAGAACCCCTGAGGAAAAATTGTGGAATCCTATTGGTGGATTAAAGCTAGTGTTTAAAATTCCATCTTCAAGTTTTCAATTTTTAATTATTAGGATTTCATAAGCAGCCATGTATAATTGAAGTTATTTGGTTAATATTCCTCCAAAGATAATTCGTTTAGGTTTTTGTTATTATTGTTTTGGTTTGGTTTTTCAAGATAGGGTTTCTCTGTGTAGCCCTGGCTGTCCTGGAACTCACTCTGTAGACCAGGCTGTCCTCACACTTAGAAATCTGCCTGCCTCTGCCTCCCAAGTGCTGGGATTAAAGGAGTGCCCCACCACTGCCCGGCTTCATTTAATTTTATTAAAAACTTAGATATTTACTTTTTTATTTCTTTCTTTAATTTTTATTGCTATGTATAAATATAGAAATACAAACTGTTGGACTGGAAAGATGGCAGTTATTAAGAGGGCTAAGTGCTCTTCTAGAGGACACAAGCTTGATTCCAAGTATCCACAGGACAGCTCACTGTGATTCCAGTTTAGGGAAAATATTGCCCTCTTCTGGTTTCCAAGGGTACCATATGTGGTACACAGACATACATATGGGTAAAATACCCATACACATAAGATAAAATAATTTAAAATAAATGTAAATAAAACTTACTGAGTCTTTTTAAATTTATTCGTGTGTGTGTGTGTGTGTGTGTGTGTGTGTGTGTGTGTGTGTATGGCTGACCATTTTATACTGGATAACTCATGAGGGTGCTCATCTGGAGAGAAAACTCATTGTCCTTCTCTCGGCAACTTGCTTGGAGCTCTTCATCTAGAAACGTAATCTTCTGAGCTTTCCCACACCAAATTCCTATGTCAACTGTTGTTATTGTCAGGTTAGGCACCACACAACTGCAATCTCATACATGCAACTTCCCTGTCCTATATAGAAGACACAGAACAGTGTCTCAGTGGCCCCTGGTCCTCAGCTCTTATAATCTTCCCCACCACAGTTACATAATGTCCTCTGAGCATCGGATCATGGGTGGGATGTAGATGTACCAAGTGGAGCTGAGAAGCCCATAGTGCTTTGTCCCCTGAGTTTTGACCAGTTGTAGCATTTTGTTGTGATCCCCAAAAATTGTACAGAGAAGCTTCCTTGACGATATATGAGAGCTACAGTTATCTGGGTCTGCAACCCATGGGCCTAGCTTCCAACTTTTGCTCCTTACTCCACAAACCATACAAACATGAGCAAGCTTGCCTTCCAAATACATCAAGAACTTCCTTTCTTGTCTAAAAATTCAGAGACTGTCTCAAAGAGGGGAGAGTGCCCCATCTCCAGCCTGCTTGAAGCCAGTAACAGCTGCCATGAAGTCCTGTAAGTTCAGAAGGCTAAAGCCTTGGGCCTCTCGCTGCTTACACTAACAGCCTCTGTACTTGGAAGACATCAGAAAACTAATGCTGCAAACTAATGGCCAAATGCTGAGACTTTTTTTTTTGTATGGAGAAGTTTAAAAATTCATCATTTTATTGAAAGATGGCTTTAAAAAATATAAAGCCATATGCCCTCCCGGTCAGAGGCGAGGGGAGGAAACGGCTGCAAAGTGCCTTCGGCCAGCCAGAGGAGAGAGGTAAAGTTGAATGCTGGTGTTAAGAAGTAAGGAACTACGCCAAAGCCTCTGATCTCTGGGAACAGGTCATCCGGGACCACCCGACAGACTTGTTGGCCCTGAAGTTTTCCCACAATGCCTACTTTTACCTGGGTCATCTGGAGCAGATGCGGGATTCTGTGGCTCGACTTTACCCCTTTTGAACACCTGACATTCCCCTTAACAGCTATGTGAAAGTAATCTATGCTTTCAGACTGATGGAAACCAACCCTTATGACCAGGCACAAAAGCTTGCCAAAGAGGCTTTGTCTATAGAGCCAACGGACACGTGGTCAGTGCAGACTATGGCCCACATACATGAAATGAAAACAGAGTTCAAAGAGGGGCTGGAGTTCATGCAGCATTCCAAAGGCCACTGGAAGGACTCCGATATGCTCGCTTGTCATAGTTACTGGCACTGGGCCCTGTACCTGATTGAAAAGGGAGAATACGAGACCGCACTAACCATCCACGACAACCATATCCTCCCCATCCTGAAGGCCAGTGGTACCATGCTGGATGTGGTGAACAGCTGTTCCATGCTCTACCGTCTTCAGATGGAAGGGGTGTCTGTTGGCCAGCGGTGGCAGGCTGTTCTACCTGTGGCCAAGAAGCATACCTGAGATCACACCCTTCTGTTCAACGATGCTCACTTCCTGATGGCCTCGCTGGGTGCACGGAACCTCCACACAGGAGCTACTGACCACCCTGCAGGAGGCCAGCAAGTCCCCAGGGGAGAACTGCCAGCACCAGTTGGCGAAAGATGTTGGGCTGCCCCTGTGCCAGGCCCTTGTGGAGGCTGAGAACGGAAACCCTGACCGAGTCTTAGAACTCCTCTTTCCAATCCGATACAAAATTGTCCAGATCCGGGGCAGCACCTCTCAGAGAGATGTCTTCAATCAGCTGCTGATTCATGCAGCCTTAACCTGCACCTCCAGCGTCCATAAGAATGTGGCCCGGAGCCTTCTGATGGAGCATAACGTCTTGAAACCCAACTCACCCCTGACTGAACAGATGATCCGCAAGGCAGCCGCCCTCCATCTTATGCAGTGACAACCTTCAGGTCCTTGGCCTACAGCTCAGCACTGACCTCCTGGCGTTAGGTTGACTGCCTGGTTGGGTTAGGGTTAGGAAACAGCTGGGTCTGTTTGTCATAGGATAAAAGTTCAGTCCTGAGCAAAATTCTCCAAATCAGTAGTTTGGGAGAAATAGGGAACACAAGTTAATTTTGAATGATACTCAGAATTCCTCTCAGGGCTAACATGCATTTTTAAGCCTTCAGTTCCAAAGCAATGCTATCATTTGCAAGTGCCTTGAACATTGTATTTTCTTGTTCTCAAGCCACCAGGCAGTGAAGAGATGTAGCCAGCTCAGCTGGGAGGTTTAGAAGTATACAGCTGTGTACATGCACACACACTGCACTAGTGAAACCTTCCCATTTAGTTTCCTTATATTCTACACAGGCCCTGCTGTCCAATTTCCCTGGGGAGGAGTCCCAGTGAGCAAAGGCATTTCCTTTTTGGGTTTCTGTCTCACTGGCTTTGTTTGTCAGCCCCAGACTACTGCACCTGCCACCATCCCCAAAGATGAGGAGAAGGATGTCTTCTGCCTGCCTGGGGGATTTGGTGGTGCAAACTGGAGCTTCTCTTTAAACTGCACGTGGGAGCAAAGCTTGAGGGATGTGGCTTCCTTTGCTAACTCCCACTCTTCTCCTGAGTAGGGCTGAGACCCCAGTTGTCTTAGTTAGGGATTTATTGCTGTGAAGAGACACCATGACCAAGGCAACTCTTACAAAGGAAAACATTTAATTGGGACTGGCTTACAGTTTGAGAGGTTCAGTCTACTATCATCATGGTGGGAAGCATGGCAGCATCCCGGCAGGCATGGTCCTGAAGAGCTGAGAGTTCTACATCTTAAACTGAAGGCATACAAAAGGAGACTTCCTTCTGCTTGCAGCCAGCATGAGGGTCTCTTCTGCACTGGGCAGAGCTTGAGTATAGGCCCTCAAAGTCCGCCCCCACAGTGACACACTTCCTCCAACAAGGACATATCTTTTAATAGTGTCACTCCCTGTGGGCCATGTGTTTAAATTGATGAGTCCAGGGGGGCTCATCTATTTAAACCACTATACCAGCTTGGGGCTGCTCTGCTGTGGCAAATAACCAGATAACTGACATAGCTGCCACCAGGTTTAAACCTATGTTCTGCTTCTGTGACAAGGACATCCCTCCTGGAAGGGATGCAGTCTTGCTGCTATCCTCCAGAAGGGGTGGTACAAGGGCAAAGATGCTCCTCCCCCACCCTCGGGGTTCCTTCAGTTCCTACTTAAGTAGGGATGGATGGGCAAGTCCTGGGTGGAGAGGTGGGGGCAGGGTGGAGGTCTCCAAACAGGTGAGCTTTGCTCAGCCTGCTCAGAGTCCCTGCAGTCTTCTCAGGACTGGACAGGTTATAGTCATTCATTAAAAACAATTTAATTGAAATATATATACATAAAGCCCAGACAAAACTCAGCCTTCTGACTTTTTGTCAAATAAAAAGTTAGCAACACATAGCACAAACCATTCTGTCCATATAGAGTTCTACCAATGAAGGGTCATTTACACAGACATTCACTGCCTCACACAGTCCACTGCACTTTTGGACACAAGCTGTCACTGAGCTGTCTCGCTGGGTGTCGTATGGACTACTCTCTCATAAAAGGAAGGGAACAGACAGTGATGGTTAGTGGATTTTTAGGTTCCCAGAGGTAACCTTCTCACCTTCTGGAATTCAACTGAGTGACTAGGTGAGACCTACCATGCAGTAAGCACCTTGCTGGTTGCTTGGAATCCTTTTACTTTTGTATTTGTGTGTTTGAGAAGAACACTTGAGTCCATCCCAAACATCAGAGTTTGAGTTCCCTGTAAAAGACACCGCTGTGAAGATCCTGCAGGGAGACTGTGGAGGGATGAAAATGTATGTTTTAAGAGAAACATCAAGAAAATGTCTCAAATTCTCTCTCATCCCCTTAGTAGCCATTTACTAGCAACCCCTGCACCTCAGCTAACACCCTTGTGACAATGGGGAATGACTTCTGGAATGCACCGATACATTTTCACACAGCTAGCTTCCACCAACCCTGACGCTAAGACTTTTGAACATCTCAGATCTACAGAAGTGATTTCTGTGTTCTGCTGTGGCCCATCAGCCTGCTGTTCCCACCAGGGTACTTTATAAATGCAGTGACTTATGATTTCCTTTGTCCTAGTACTATAAAGGTTCATGTAACCTGTTCCACAGTGGGACTTGCTATTCAGCTTAAACTATGCTTCTAGGCCTTGCTTGCTCATATTTGCCTCAATACACCCTTCATTTCCTTAAAATAAGAGCTGCATTTCCCTGTTGCATTTATCTATTTGAGGGAAGGAATAAGGCTTAACCATGCCACTGGGCATATACCAAGGTCATAGGCCCATCACTGAGAGGTCACTCAGGCTCTTAGGCTTGGTGGCAAGCATCTTAATCCATTGAGACACCTCACAGAGCCAAGAGCTGTGATCTGAATAGCAAAGATAGAAGAACAAATGTTAAAGTGGCTCATAAAAAATTAAATCATGTCTTATTCATTTTGAACTCAAAAGATTAGTGTAATTATATCTGAAGACAGCTAAATCCCACATCGATCAATGGTAAAGGTTGTTTGGGAAGTTTTCCACTTCTGTTCCACATTTAACAAGAATAAACTGAGGCTGAGGGAGTATGTGTGAATATTACTCTCATTAAACATAAATAATAAGGCTACAGTAAAGGCCCACTGGTTAAGAGTGCCTATTGCTTTTGCAGAGGACCTAAGAGAGGTTCCAAGCACCCATTTGGGGAGGCTCCCAACCACTATGACTGGTGATGCAGATAATCCAACCGTCTTTGGACTCCTGTGTTCACACACACACACACACACACACACACACACACACACACATAGTCAAAAACAGACAGACACAGAGACACACAATTAGAAAAATTAAAACAAATCTTTTAAAATGATGATATGTAGGATCGTGAAAGGTAGCCTTGTTCCAGTTGCGCTAAGGCTCGAAACCCCAGTGACCCTAAAGGGAAGGTAGGTGTTTCACCTGGTTCCCAGGCACCAGGCTCCTGGCACGAGGCTGCAGCCCTCCATAGATTTGTGGCCATCAGTCATGTAAGGGCAACTCCCCAAATCCCTCCACAAGTAGAAGACTGACCTATGGTCATGTAGATTCAAGACAGATCTCCATTTTAATGAGGTACCTAAAGGCCTAGAAGCTTAACCAATAAACTCTCCTTCCCAGACACTCTACCCTGAAAAAGGTATTTAACCTCAGCTCCACCCTGAGAAGTGGGGTACAGTTTTACTCATCCACTATCCACCATGACAATAAATGTCTTAAAACCATGGACTGCTCCTGGTCTACAGAGTGAGTTCCAGGACAGCCAGGGCTACATAGAGAAACCCTGTCTCAAAAAACAAACAAACAAACAAACAAACACCCAAAAAACAACAACAACAAAACCCATGGACTGCCTCTTTTCACTGCTGTGGGGAGCCGTGGAGGCCTTTGCCTACAGACCAGCTGTCTAAACTCCCGCAGAAGGCCTCTATGAGCTCCTAGCCACAGCCTTGACCAAGCCAAGCCAAGCCCAAACCATACCACCACCAAACCAAAGACACTCCCCTCAGGACCAGCTGGAGCACTCTCCTCTTCCTCCCCACCCAGCCCCCGCTGGCCCCAGGCTAAATCCAGCTGGTGGGCCCCCACTCTGTTCTCACCTCTTCTGCAGCATCCAGCAGCATCTGGTTATTTGAAAGCCTGAGAACCAGATGGCCCTGGCCTCCCTGCAGGACCAGGGATCCCCAAGCTAGGGACTTCAGACTGCACTTCCCCACCCCTGAAGCAGTATCCCTCAGCTTTCCTACTGGCCCCACACTGGTAGGACAACAGTGTGGGGTAGGCACGGTCAAACTCCCCACATCCACATCCTGCCTCCCCAAGCAGCCAAGCCCTGTGGCAGAGCAGACGCCAGACCCCTTTAACCCTACAATGATATGCTCATAATAATTTTGAGATCATAAAGATATGTAAAATTATAAGGTATTCATGTTACTATATAAAATATTAATATAATACTAGCCTGTTTACTCTTTTTATATATTTATTACCTCTCTACAGTGGTCTATGAATTTGGCATATATCAATAAATCAAAGCCCTGTGGGCCCTCTTTAGCTTGTGTCTATGTGGAAAACAAATACATGTTTTTAAAAATGTAACCAAAAGGAGATTTCATCAGGGAACACTGCAAGGTGATGAATACTGTAATTATGAAAAAAAATATGAAAAAACTTCAAAGAAGCAGCAATGCAGAAGAGCAAGGGGGAGGCCGGGCATGGGACTCAGGAGCAACTTCATAAGGACTCATTTCCCCAAAAAGCTTTCTCTGCTTGTGACAGTCATTGCTAGGGACTGGGGGTGCCAGAACCTGGTGCCCTCTGAAGACTGTTGTGACTGCTAGGCTGACAAGCAAGGACACTTCAATGTCTGTTTCAGGAATTCAGTGCAGAAGAGATAACAGAAGGACAGACACATGGTCTATAGATTCAGAAGACAGAGCAAACTGGGCTTCCCATATTGTGGCAGTCTACAGAGGACAAGTTATTCAGGCCTGATCTGTGCATGAAAGGAAGAGCCATCAGCTGAGAAGGGGAGAGCTGCTCCCAGCACACGATTGGAGGTTCTAGATTTGAGTCATGTTACTTATCTTTGGAAGAGGTCGTGGCATTATGGAGGAGTGCCCAAAATCCCTGGCTTAGAAATAGTATTTGAAAGCCAGGAGCCTCAGTTAGGTGCTGAAGATTTTCTGTGCTCACGAAAGGAAAAGCCCATGAGGTCATCCTGGTGGCAGCTTTCCATAAAAAGGCAACAAAGAAGAGATCTCCACACACAGCCAGAAGCAGCCCAAGGAGGTAAGAGGAACATAAAGACAAGGGGGGTCTTGAAAGTCAAGGTCAGACAAATGCAAAGGTACAGGCAATGATTCCAAGTCAGAGCTGCCAAGACCTGGGCTAAGGTTAGTCCTCCTGACCTTGCAGCTGCAGGGCCAGTGACATTCTCAGATTGGAGACATCAGTAATGAAGAGTGTAAGGAAGAAGAGAAGGAGGCAATGGCTAGAAAACCAGTAGACTTTTAAGGTGCTGTGAACTGAAGCACTCTAAGT